ATATTCTTTATGCATTAAGTAAAATTCATTGTTAACTTTGAACATGAGAAAACGGGGAAGGAGTCCTTAAATATCGGAGTCCTGTGAATGCAGAGTCTGAGGATACTCCAGGTGTCTATGGGTTCATGAGGCAATACTTCCCTTATTACATGTCATATAGTCTGATCTATTCCACTTCATCAGGTGGGGAGTGGGGGGGGAAAATAAATCCTGGGGATGTAATGTACAGTATGGTGACTATAGGTAACAATACTGTACTGCATATTTGAAAGTTGCTAAGAGCAGATCTTAAAAAGTCTCATCACAAGAGAAAAATTGCAACTGTGTGGTGAGAGGTACATTAGGTAGACTTATTGTGGTGATTACTGCACAATAAGTATACAAATATCGAATGACTATGTGGTACAACAGAAACTAATATAATGTTATATGCCAATTCTATCTAAATTTTTAAAATGCTATTGGATACCCATTAATGGATTGTAAACACTGGTCCCCAGTTAAACTTCTCAGTGATGCCAAGCTGCCCAGCCCGCCTATAGAGAATCATTTTCACATCACCTTCTGGGTCACACTGCACACCCACAGCTCAGACACACCATACCCTTTCATGCATCCATGTCTTTGCAAACATCCCTCCTCTCTGGGATGGTCTTTTCCTACCTCCTTCTCCATCTTGTAAAATGGTCATCCTGCAGTCCTTGCTGCCATGGGCTTTGTCTTTCCCAATTCTACCTGGCCAGGCAGTTAGCTATGCCTTCTGTGCTCTCAAGCCATGGAAAATTAAAATGTTTTTCTTTTTCTTAAAGTAATACATGCACAGAATTGACAAACTCTAATAGAGCTACAAAGCTTAGGACAAAACACATGCCCATTACATTCCTACTCCAGCTCCCCAGAAGCCACTACTTATAAGTCTTCCATTATTACTTCTACATTTCACTCCTTTTCAATAAAGAACATGCTTATTTAAGTGAAATAAGTCAGTCAGAGAAAGACAAATAACATATGATCTCACTTATATGTGGAATCTAAAGAACAGAATGAATGAGCAAAGTAAACAGAAATAGTCTCAGAGACACAGAGGAACAACTGATGGTTGCTAGCTGGGAGGGGTTGGGGATGAGGGAGAAGGGGAAGGGATTAGACACCATAAAATGGTAACTACAATATTGCCACAGGGATATGAAAGACAGTTTGGGGAATATAATTAATAATGTTGTAAAGATTTTGTAGGGTGTCAGATGGGCACATGTCTTGTTAGGGAGACCACTTCATGGACAGTGTAGAGGCTTGACCATTACACTGCACACCTGAAGCTGAAGCTGAATAATATTGTATGTCTAATTTAATATATATATAGTCACAGGATGTGCAGTACAGTACAGGGAATAGAGTCAATGGAATTGTAACAGCTATATATGATGTCAGACAGGTAGTAGATTGGGGGAGGTGAGTTATCACTTTGTGAGGGGTGTAAATGTCTTTGTACACCTGAAACTAATATAAAAAAAAGGAACATGCCTATGCTGCTATGTTTTTTTCATTTTAGACGCTATCAAGTGATTTCCTATTATAGAGTGTGAATATTTAGTTATTTTTACTGCCCTCCTTTCCCTCCTAATGGTTCATTATGGTTATATAAATTTTTGTAGTTATGTTAACGTTCAGTATATACATGATTGTGATTATTGATATTGTTTACCTTGGCTTATATTTTCATTCTCGTATACCTCACATTTTTTTCTGAAGTTAATAAATACTTTTATTATTTGTTTCCTGAACACCTGAAAAAAGAAGAGGAGGGAAACCTGGGGATACTTGGGAGAAGAGTGTTCCATACAGAGTGAATTTCTCCTTCAAAAGCCTTGGGCTGCGACTGTGCCGGGAATGTTTGAGACACAGCAAGAAGGGCCATGTGGATGGAGTGGAGGGACAAGAAGAGTGTAGTAACTGACGCAGTAGAAGAGGCGGGCCAGGCAAAGGCATGCAGGGCCTTACTGGCCATGGTGATGACTGTGAAATGTTATTTATTTATTTATTTATTTGAATTTTACTCTGAGAATGATGGGAAGCCAATGGAAGATTCTGAACAGAGGGGTAATATGGTCAAACTGTCATTTTTAAAACCTCACTCAGATTGCTGTACCAAGCAAAGGCATTGCTGTAGCAGGGGTGTAAGCAGGGAGGCCAACTGAGAGGCTGTTGAAATGATCCGGGGAAGAGATGGTGGTGGCTTGGGCCAGAGTGGCAGCAGTAGAGATGATAAAAAGCATTTGAATTCTGGATATACTCTGAAGGTAAAATTGACAGAATTTGCTAATAGATTGGATGGGAGTGTGAGATAAAGAGCCCATTAATTCTTATTTGCCCCTTTCTATGTAACAGAGACAAGAAATCGAGGGGTCGAAGATGACAGTGACTTGTGCCAGGCTACACAGCTAATTCGAAGAAAGCACCTATCATATTACTTGGCACATAGTAGGCACTCATTAAAAATGAGTTTCACTTCCTTTGTGGCAGAGATGTATATCAAGGACTCAAATTCAGTGCTATTTTCAGAATCCTATCCTATCACTTCCATGAATTACATATCTATACGTTTATTTCTACCAATAATCAATCAGCTAAGTAACCAGCCATCAAATTAACCAAAAGTATTTATGGGCACTCACTTTGTCTCCAGTTTCATGGAAACAGAAGAGATAACGCTGGTTATAACATCAACAATAAACATTTCCTGAGTGGCTGCCAGCTTTTAGCTACTTTTCATGCATTATCTCATTTAATCCTCATAACAACCTAATGGGGACTATATTACTATTACCTCCACTTTACAGATGAGGAACTGGAGGCTCAGAGAAGATACAATCATTCCCAGAGCCACACACAGTAAATATTTCAGCCAGTATTTGGATTCAGCTCATCTTAGAACATATAATCCCTGTGTCAAAGATCTTATGAAATAATCAGTGAACACTGTATGACGGTGCATAAATAAAATGGCCCATCTTTTGTGTTCTAAAAATCAGGAAAGGGAGAGATTAATCTAGAATGTAAGTTTGATTTTGAAATATGAATAGGATTTAGACAGAATGAGAAAAGGAGAAGGAATCCTAAATGATGGGGAGGAGAGGGGTCCTATAGTCTAATCCAAGGCCTAGAGGTTGAAATGGATGCCACTGTCGGGGGGAGGGGGTGTCAGAGAGAAGCCTGGCCTGGCTGTATTAAAAGGTTCCAGCTGAGACGTGGTGGCATAACTGGGCTACAACTCCAATTCCTGGTCTACACAAGGATACCCAAAAGTTCCCGGTGGAGAAATCCTGTTTTCCATTGATGTAGGGTATAGAGCAACGTAAGGGTTTCATAGGCCCGAGGTGCCCTTATTTTTAGGAACCCCTACCCTACATCACAAAAAATACTAAAACGTACTCATACTTCACATTTCATACAATTTACATATAACTATATGTAACAGGAATTTACAGTGTACCTAGTTTAGTCTCAGATTTGCTAAGGCCCTAAGCCAACAGGTACTACCTTCCAAACTGAGCTGTGACATGGCTATGCAGAGCTAATGAGAGGTTTCAAAAGCCCAGTGTTTTGACTCTTTAATCCTTCATCTGCATTGAAGGTATAAAAGAGTCAGGAATTTGGAGATTAAGGGAGAAGTTTTAGTGAGAAGTGTTGGTGAGTCCCACCAATTCTGCCTTTAAAGAAGGATATGAGGCACCTGCCCCTTTCACACCAAGTCTAGAGGGAGAGGCTTTAAGGAGACCACCAAGAGAGCTTAAATGTTTTCCCTGTTGAGCATCACAGTGGTCTGCAGCCTAACTTATACCCCAGAAATCTAGAGTGTGAGAATAGGTGGCTGGCCTCCTGACATTGGAACTAGGGACAATACGCTGCATGGGTGGCCAACACCCTGAGAGCGTGTTTGGAGGGAGGAGACACAGGTGTCCCCCTGGAACAGAGGCAAGCTGCTCGCATGGCACACCTGGCATAGATCGTGTGAGACCTTGTCGCACAGCCCATGTGAAGGGTCAAGTGAATTCCTAGACTTTCAGGAGAAGGAAGAGAAAGCAACCTGCAGGGGAAAGATCCCAATGACTGGGGAGGGTCTCCAAAGAGCCTGTGCGGGCATCCCAACGAAGAAAGGGTCAGCCTTTCAGTCCCTCTCTGATGCCGGCTCCTGATGACATGAGTCTGTCTGCCCCTTTTCGCTTTCTCCCTTTGCCCCTCAGCCATGGTTATCCAAATGGGAAAGAGGCTTAACTGTGAAAAATAATAAAAGGAACTAGCTAACCACATGCTCTCCCCAACACATGGAACAAGTTTCAAGAGAACCAAAATAAAATTACCGTATGACTATATCTCAAAAGTCATGCTTGTTCTACCAAATGGTTATGCATATGAGCTGAATTTAGTTGATACAGAGTTACATTCAATTGTTGACAACTGAATACTTGCTAAGTTTGATTTGGTAGATTTTTTTTTCATAGTTTGGAGACAACACCTTAGTTTACTCTCATATCTTAAACATTTTCCTAGGGCCTTAAAAGGCTTGTGTATCCCATGGTAGATAACGGGTAAAAGGACCATGAGATGCACGGCTAGATCTCTGGGCTTGGGTTCTGAAGATGAGTTCAAGTTCGGCTCTAATATTGAGGTTGTGACTCCAAGCAAGTCAGTCCTCCTCTCTGGGCCCTAGCTTTCCCATCTGTAAAGCGAGGAGCCTGGACTGGTTGGCCCCTCCTGTCCTGACTGGTTCTAAAACTCTCATCTCTGGGATTCCATGGGTAGCTTGTGGAGCCGGACATACAAGTCCGTTTAAATAACTTTTTGTTTAATGAATAAACTAGTGATGGCTGTATTCCCCCCGAAGTCCTCCCAACTTTGCCTCTCTATGTCTTTGGGACATCGGGGTACCGAGCTGTCTTTGGGTCAGAGGAGGCATCCGCTCCTTCCCTGGGGTAAGCAGGCTCGGCAGACAATCCTACCTTGTTGAGGGTGTTGAGAGCCGCCTGGGCTGCTGTGAGCGCTGGCTCTGCTTTGGCCAGGTCTTCCTCACAGTCTCTCTGCTTCTGCTTCACCTCCAGCATGATGAGGGCCACCTTCTCCTCCTCCTCGTCTGCTGTGACTTTCTCCCGGCTCACCTTTTCAGTCTCTACTCCCACCACATGAATCAGCTTATCAGCATTCTCGTTCTTCTGCTTCAGCTCCACTTCCTGGGTGGCCAGCTTGGCTTTCAGATCGTCCACCTGCAGCAGAGAAGCACCAGGCTTATTGGGAGCAGAGGGACTTCGGATACGGCCCTGGGAACCTGACTCTGCAGAGCAGAGAAGGATGCTGGCTCCTGCTGCGAAGCTGTGAAGCTAATCTCTCAGCTGGGACCAAGCTCCCTGATCTGGAAGGAAAGGAACACAGGACTCCCTCTTCCTCTCCCCTCAGCAGTCAGTGTGGTGGAAGAATCTAAGCAACACATGCCCTCACCTTTCTTTCTCCTTGATGCCCAAGACTCAGGCTGCTTCTCCATGACTTTCATGCCTATGTCTTGTAAAACTTAATGTGCCTAAAGCAATACTTTGCACATAGTAGGCCCTTAATAAAAATCAGTCGTTATTTTATTGAAATTGGCCATTGTGGAGTATACCAAGGATTTAGCAAGCTATAGAAGGTGAGTGCCTACTGTGCACCTGAGAGACTGGATATGTGAATAGACAGTGGCAGGACCACACGTAAACATAGAACTCTGACCAATAGCCTGCAGCAACCTGCTCAGGAAACCCACCCAATACCTAAAATAACCGGCTCAGGATGCCAGCCTGCTGTGGCAGACTTGTAGGAAATCAGCTTACTGTCTAGGTAACAACCCAGGAAGACAAACAATAACCTCTGTAACAACTGACCCCAAATGGCCAGGACTTGATTAATAACTGACAACTTCCTTAATTTTTGTCTCTGTTTCCAACTTAGGACCAGCCAGAGAAAGTCACATATGCACCCCTGACCGATCACACAGGATACCCCACTTCTACTAGGCCACCCAGAGTTTCCCCAGGCTAACAGCCCCCATCAGGGCATACCCAAGGCCTTTCCTTTCTTCCCACTATAAAGCTCTCCTCCTTCTGCCTTTGCCTCGCAGCCAAAATGCAAATGATGGTGGCTGACTCCCTGGCAAGAGTAAGCTGGGAATACAGAGCTTTAGCTTGTTCTCCTTCGGTTGGTTTTTGTTTATTTCCACAATGCTTACAAGAAATAGATGAGCAGGTTGAAGAGGGACAGCAAGAATCCCAATGGTCCACACCCCCTGGGTTGCCCATCCAGTTTCTATATTCATATGCACTGTGGAGGCAGTGATGAAGTGATGGGAATATCAGCACCTAGGAACTGTCTACTTCTCTCATCAGCTGGAGAGAGGGGAATGGTTTTCTACATATATTCGGTAGAGTGTGGTGGTTCTGGACCAGCAGCATCAGCATCACCTGGGTACCTGTTAGAAATGTAGATTCTCAGGCCCACTCCAGAGACTGAATCAGAAATCCTGGAGGTGGGGCCCAGCAATGTGTGTTTTCACAGGCCCTCCGGGTGATTCTGTTGCTTGCCTAGGTTTGAGAATCACCAGCCCAGTGTTACGGCCCTTTCACATGCAAAGAGAAGACTCATCTATTTATTTCTGGAAAATAAAAAAGCCATTTGTATTTGTATTTGCAATAGGGCCCATAAACTTTATATTCCAGAATGACCTCTTGTCTCTCATTTTTCTGCAGTCTATTTCATAAAACAAGCAACGATTACTTCAGAGCTCCTGGAATGCGTCAAACAGATTCAAATACTTTATGATGCAAAATACATAAGGGGAAATATAAAATGGAGGCTTAGACGCTGCTGATAATTCCATTTTCATGGCAGATCAAAAGAAAAGAAAAAAAGCTGGAAAAAAAACCACAACAAGAATGCTCTTTCATTTTGTGTATTCATAGAAACTGGAGACTTTGCATTAACCTCGAATGGAGGCCTGCTCCCTAGAATACATCTTATATCCCCAAGTTGGAAGGTTAATCCATTTTCATCTCCCGTTGTTCAGCTGCAGAGAGTTATTTCTACAAGGACAAAGATGCAATTGTAAATCAAAATGATTGAACCACATAATCACTCCAGTCAGCAAACACACCAGTAACTTTCTGTTCCTTTTTAAATCTTGGGAGATTTGAGAAAATTGAAGTGTTTCTTTTTTTCCCTTTGTTGTTGTTATTGTTTGTTTTACTGATTGCAGATATGGTTTATGACCTCAGGCCCAAGGTAAATAATCACCTGCACTGTGAATGGGGACTTTATAGCTCTTAAACTGTGACATGGAGTGACAAGAGGGTCCCGTCAGTCAGAATTAGGCTATTCCCCACATGCTACAGCGAAGGCATAACTCAAGTTCATTTCATGGCTCTCTGCAACAGAACAGGATATTGAAATAGTTTACTTAAAATTTCCTCTTCTCTTTTTCTCTTAGAGCATTTAAGCCATACTCTGGATTTCTTCTTACTTAGCCACACCCATACCAAGGTAGGAAGAGTGCCCTAAACATGAAAGAAACCCTTTCCCTCAGTCTCTGCCCTATGAATATTGGCCATGCATGGTAAGTGGGTGGATGTTGACTGAGTGAGGTAGTGACAAGATGGTGGAGGGAGATCCTCCCTGCTTTAAGAATCTGACACATGATGCTAAAAAGAGAGGCCAAGCTTCTTAGGGTCTTCTCCCCAGAGTTCCAGAAGGAGAGGGAACCCACGATAATCAACAGCAAAAAATATTCCACTGAGGGTCGGAGGCCTAGAGCTCTCTTCCTTCTCAACTCTGAGTTCATAAAATTATCTAATACTTTCTGATATGAATTTGGACTTCAAGCAGGTTTTCTTGTTAGATACAGATGTTTCCATCTATAGTAGATATTTGCTATGTTTACCTAATAAAAAGTTTTCATCCCTGTTCTGATAACATAGGTTGGTTTTCCTTTGGAGAACTCCGCCTTTCCATGTCCTTGTAGTTTGGGTGGGGTGGACTCCAGTGGTTGCCATTTGATGCTGGCTTGGCCAATGAGAGTGTCTAAGTCACAGAGATTGGTTCAACTTTGGGCAAACCAATGACCTAAAGAAACCAGTTAGAGCCACTGACCATTAACCCAGGAACTTGGTTGAAAATACTAGGAAAGAGGCACTCCTCTTTATACTGGGGTTGTAAAGCAGACAGACTACAAGTTTGAGTTGTCAGAGCCATGGAGGTTGCCTGCCTGAACAGAGACATATAGTGAGTATCTAGCACCAGCCCTGTCCAAATTAAGCTCTATCCAGTACTTTTCAGTTACCTGAATCAATTCATTTCTTTTTATTTTGTTTTGTTGCTTTGCCTATTAGCTGGATTTTGGTTAGTTGCTATCAAGAGGGTCCTGATAAATATATCATGTAATCTAAAAATTTTCTCTCTCCCTCTCCTCTTCTCTCCTCTCTATTCCTCTCCCCCTTCTGTCCCCTTCTGTCCTTTCCTTCTTTTTGTTTTGTTGTTTTCCTGTTGCTAAATGAATTTGAGTTAGTTTGTTTTTTTTTCAACTGAGACCAAAGAAGTCCTGACAAATACATCATATCAACCTTAGGTAAGTTTGGTGGCCTGAGAGTATTTAAAACCCTAAGGTACACTGAATTTAAAACTTTCCAGATTGACAGACACGTGGATTAAATCCTATATGCAGTGGCCTGTAGGCCTTTTGAGAACATGTCTTCCATCTACCAGCCTTACTTCTTCATGAACACACCTGAGTTAGATACAAAAGCAAGGATGACAGTGGGTTCTGAGGATATCAGTGACGGATGAAGTGAGAGCCAAGTCAGGGTTGGGGCTCTGACTGTATCAAGAGAGAGAAAACAATTACACCAATCGTGAAGACTTCAGCTGAAGATGAAGCAAAGACAGATGATGCCACCTAAAGACCCAGCAGGACCAGCCATCCATCATCAGAGCCAGTGGGAAGTGGAGGACCGTACCATGATATTTCATCAGCTCCTTCCTGAAACCTGACACCACTACAGAAGTAAGGAGGAAAATACCCTTCAGAGGAAAATAGCCCAGAGATAGAGTTAGAACTGAACTGGCTGCCCTCCAAAGACTGAGTAAATTTTTAACCTGAAGTGACCAAGTCAGCCTGCAATATTAAGTGCTTTCTACTTTTAAATGAAAAAAAAAATGGATCCAGAGCTAAATTAAATTCAGTTATAGAGAGATAAAGTTACATTTATGATCAGCTGAATCTAAGCATGAAACTATATATAAAGGTAATAAACTTTAGATTACCATACAATTGTTAATTATTGTCATTATTACCATTATCATTACTACTTCTAATACTATAATTATTGGCTAAATAAATTTTGAGTCTGAGCCAGAGCTGTGAGATTCATTTAGTCTACTCCCACTAGATTATGAACACCAAAAATTGTCATAATTGGGTAGTAAGATACCGATACAATATAATTCAAGTCATTACCTTATACCAGGTTATGATAAAGTGATTCGGTTCTTTCTACCAAAGGAACAATTCCTGATGAAGGGTTTCTATCAGTTAGGAACCCTAGATACCATTTTTATAAGAAGAATCATCATTGTAATTATCAGTAAGTGTGGAATGTACACCATGTACATGGTATTGCCAAGACTCATCCTCAATGCCCACTCTGAGCTTGTAGGTGATTTAGAACTTGTTCCTTGGTTTATTTGTCTGTCCATCTATCACCTAACCACCTATCCATCTACATATACATTTATAGAATACCTAGTATATGCCAATGAATCCCAGCTTCTGCCCTTGAAGGGGTGATAACAGGATAGCATAATATATGCCAGGGAAGAAACATAATTCAAGGGTGGAACCACAGAGAAGGGAAAGCTTAAATACTCAAGCTTAGGAAGAGCTTCCGAGAAGGGGGGTAACAAATTGTTGAGGTCTTGACAGTGACAAGCTGACAAGGTGGGGTACATGTAAAGACACAGAGATGTGGGGCCGGCCGAGTGGCGCGATGGTTAAGAACTTGCTTGGGATGCCAGAGGGCCCCGGTTCGGATCCCACATATGAGGGCCAGTGACACTGCCCTCTACAGCTAAGATGCTGAACAACGGCTCAACCTGGAGCTGGGCTGCTGTGAGTCGCCGGCGACGGCGTAGGCTGCAGTCCCTTTGACAGGGCTGCCATGGGCTACCGTGTGTAGCCAGCAGCCAGCGTGAGCGGCCAGCAGCCGCAGTGAGCGGCCGTCCAGAAGCCGGCGACTGATCTGCCTCACCCGGGAAGAGCGCAATGATGGTGCCAACTTGGGCCAGTGAAGCAACATCCTCCACAACTAGACTGAAGAACAAAATGACAGCAACTTGTCTGTCCCCCTTCCCCCAATTCCCCAGCACTGTTCCCATCCCCCCAATTCACCAATAAAAATCTTAAAAAAAAAAAAAGACACAGAGATGTGAACTACCTGTGGAATGTTGAGGGAACTACAAATAGTTGGTACTGTTGGACTTTAGGGTACGACGTAGTAGCAACGAGGAAGAAAATGGTGGTGCAATAAGCAAGGACACATTTTACAAGTCCTGGAAAAGATCAGGAAATCTGAACTGTAATGTCTAAATCATTAAGACCTATAATAGAGAATACGCAGACATCTGGCTTGAGCAAAAATCAAAGAGCAGGGCAGAGGTTGGTCCATAGCTATGCTGCCTAGTGTGGTACCCACTAGCCACTTGTGGTTAATGAGCACTTAAAAAGCGGCTTGTCTCAACTGAGATGTGCTGCAAGTATCATCACACACACTAGTTTCTGAAGCCTTGTTGAAAAAAAAATGAAAAAATATTTCATTAATAACTTTTTTACATTGATTACATGTTAAAAGGATAATATTTTGGGTATATTGGGTTAAATAACATATATTATTCAAATATATGATAAAATTATATACAATTATAATAAAGTATTATATTAAAATATAATTCACTTGGCTCATTTTACTTTTTTGATCCAACTACTAGAAAATTTAAATTTGCATACATGACTTGCAGGATATTTCTATTGGACAGTGCTGGTCTAGAGTGCTGGCAGAATACAGTCAGGGAGACTCAATAGAATGCTATGCATTAATTAAAGCATTTAGTCAACAAATATTTAATGAGTGCCCACTCTGTCCCAGCACTTTTTTACACACTGGGCATACATCAGTGAATAAAACAGACAAGGTTCCCTGTCCTTGTAGAGCTTGTATCCAACAAATAGAGATCGAAAACAAAAAATAAACATGACAAGTAAATTATACAATATGTTACACAGGGGTAAGTGCTATGGGGAAAAGGTAAAGTAGAGCCAAAAAATGGGATCAGAAGTGGTATGGGGGTTACCATTTAAAATGAGGTCATCAGGATAAGAGTCATGGAGAAGGTGACATTTGAGTAAAGAATTAAAAGAGATGAGGGAGTGAGCCACGGGGATATTAGAGGAAAGCACATCTAGGGGACGGCTAATGCCAAGGCCTGGTGTGTCTGACAGCAAAGGAGCAGTGTGGCTGGAGGGGAATGTCACAGGGAGGGAGGAGCAGGAGATGAGGTCTGGAGGTAACAGGGCCGGGCTGGGGAGGAGCCTTGGAAGCCACCGGAGTGAGGGAATGGAGGGCCATTGCTCTTTCTGGGCTTTGAGCAGAAAAGTGACATGATCCAATTTTAGGTTTTAAATTGATCACTCTGGCTACTCAGTTGATGACAGACAACAGAGGGGCAAAAGTGGAAGCAGACAAATGAGTTAGGAGGGTATTGCAGCTTCCAGGTAAGATGTCAGGGGCTCAGATGAGGGTCGGAGCCGTACAGGAGGTGCAAAGTGGTGGGATTCTGGGCGTACCTGAAGTTAGAGCCAATAATGATTTTTTTTTTCTGGGTGTAAGTTGTGAGAGGAAGAGAGGAATGGGAAGAGTCAAGGATGACAGCAAGGATTTTGGCCTGATGGGTGATGCTAGAGGTTGTGGGTGAAGCAGGTTTGGGGTGGGGGAGTTCAATTTCTTGAAATAATCCAGATAAGAAGTGTCTAAATCAAGACACTAAAAATGGAGGATACAGCAAGAGGGGTACATCTGAGAGATATTTAGAAAACTTATGTAATTGTTAATGCTTAAATGGGGGAAGTGATGAAAGGGGTGGAGTCAAAGTTAATGACCTAGTTTCTGGTCTAGGTAACTGGGTAGGTAGAGTGTTATTCACTGAAGAAGAGAAGATAGAAGGAAAACAAACCAAAACTGACGCCAAGACTTGGGGGGACTCTCCAGTAACTATATGCAGATAGAGCTGCATTCACCTAATGGTATAAGCAGGCTTCTCCTTGTTAAGTGGAGATCATGTAAAAAAGGCAAGCAGACATTTATGCCTTGTTCATGGTCTGCTCAAAGACCCAGGGTCTGCACAAGATCGATGCTGGGTGCTGTTCTGCGAGAGTGTCAGAGCACCTTTCCCAGGGCTTGCTCTCTAGCAAGTGTCTTCTGTACAGGCGGGTCAGCAATTCCGAGAGGATATGTGGGTAGGAGGGGAAACGGGGGCTGGTGGGGATGTGGAAGGTTGTGAACTGTAGGTGGGGGCAGACAGGAAGAAGGAAAGGTGGGAGATGTGAAAAAATCTGGTAGTGCCGCATTCTTGGATCCTTTTTTATGCTGTTTTCTACACATTCAGAGATTGAGAGAACCAGAAAGTGTTTGGGACAGAAGATGCTATGTTTCTACAACAAAGGTATACACCAGGTAAACTGCTGGGACCTGAACCGGGGTCTGTGTATTTCAATCTGTTCTAAACTATAGCTCCAAGAAGGGGTTTTGGTCATGATACAAATGGAAAGAGAGTGGCGTCACTGATAATTGTCACAGGCCATTTGTTGACAAACATTGAGTTTGAACAGATGTCTCACCATGTCTGAAGTAAATAAAAAAACCCCAGGTCTTTACAAAAATACAGAACAAGGAAAGGAAGAGCATCTAGAAGACTAAGAAGAACATAGCTCTAAAAACGACCCATGAGTAGATGTAGAAAAAACACCAAGAAAGCTTTTTGGCATCATCAACAGAATGGCTTCTATAATACAGTCGCAGAAAAACAGGCTGAAATAAAAAAGCAATAGGGAAGAGAAAAGGATGAGATGAGGAAGGGCTGTTAGGATATTAAAAATGTAATAGCATAATTAAAGTCTTCATTGGCAGCATAGGAAGAAGCAATATTACACACAATTAAATTAATATTGTTGAGGATAAACTTGAAAAGCTCCCCTAGAATGTGACTCCCAACCCCCCATTGCTTTACTACATGGAAAGTTGTTCCAACAACTTTATGCAAGCATGAGCTTGAGAAAAAGGCCAAAGGGATAAAAACAATGAGTGAGGACATAATAGATATGGGGCACAGGGAACCCATCCAGCTAATCATTGCTCCTGGAGGAGAGGCCAGAGCAGATGAACAAAACCATATAACAGAAGAAAAATTTCCTTCGCAGAAGAAAGAATATGAGTATAGATTGCAAGGGATCACTGCAACCGACTAAATGAACTGAAATCCTTTAGATACATTACATCAGTGAATCAAGAAACTGAAGTGGGTAGAAAGCACAAGTCAGAAGAAGGAAGCTCAACAGAGCTATTCCAAAGGCAGAGCTCTGAGAACATGACAGTAATGAAAGGCTTAGATGTCTCCAGGAACATGTGATGTCCAGTAGTTAAACTGACCACAACTGTAGTTTAATTGTGCAAATGAAAGATATTCACCACCTTAAGGAGAGGCAGGCTCTGCTGTAGGTAAACAGAGCCCAGGAAGGGGCCATGAAGAGACCAACAATGTTTGGTGGGCATGAGCAGGGGCAGAGAAGGTGCTAGAGCTGTCCCCAGCTCTCAAGGGAAGAACAGTATATTGCCTGAAATAAACTTGTTCCATTTGAAAAAATACGTAGAAAAATATAACAAGGACAGGACAACAGGGGCCTTTTGTTGACGGCCAACTACTTCGGAATACATGAGGAAATGCATGAAATGAGACAGAATTTGTTTAAGAAATTAGGTTCCAATGGCTCTTTGACAGGTTAACACGGTAAGACAAAAGAAACAAAAGAAAATTGGTATAACCCTGCAACCATTTCTCTCAATGGTTCATCTCTTTTGGTTTTGAAGATGGAGGGGAAGTGGGCTGGAGAGGACAGAAAAGTAGTGGGAAAGGAGGAGATGGCAAAGAGAAAGAGAGAAGAGGTGTCCTCGGGGTTCCGGCATCAGTGAGGAGGAGGCCAGACCTGAAGCAGGAGATGTGGCGTCCTGCTGGAAGAGCTCAGCCGTAACGTCTGGTTTCTGATGACACTAGGGCCTCTTGAAAAGCATAAACGGTTTTTGGACCTCCATTGCGATCCTTCCAGTTTTCTGGAAAGGGGCCGCTCCCTTTCCCTCAGTGCCCGCAGCCAGGAGAGATCGGGAGGGTGTCGCTCACCTGGGTGGAGGTGCTGTGGAGCTTCAGCAGCCCATTCTGGAGCCGCTCCATCTTGGTCTTGAGCTCTTCTCCTTTCCTGCGCAGCAAGCTCTGGTAGAGTCTGATGAACTCCAGAAATGATTTGGGAGTTGTGTAGTTGTAGCGCTGCTCGTTGCTCAGATAACATTGGGATGTTTGATTGACACTTGTGTGGACAAAAGCCATGAACTTGCTAATCGACTGCTTGACTGTGGGCTAAAATCAAAGAGCAGGAAATAAAGAGATAGTCTCGCTATGAATACTGGAGGTGACTCCCCACCCCCATTGCTTTACCACATGGAAAGTTATTCCAACCACCTTATGCAAGCCTGAACTTGGACTCTGAAATTCTGGACACAGAATTCCTTGCACCGTGAGGTGGAAAGAATCTTGAGGAGCGTCTCCTTTCCCTCTCACCTCGATGCTCTTGGTGCTCTGCAAGAAGCGAAGGCTGACAGACTCCAGTGCCTGCTGAGGCCACTCATGAAACCAGTCGATGGCCGTGCGGTTCACAATGGCTGGGAAGTTCCTGCTGCGAACCCTCAGCGTGTTCCCCACAGGGGAGAAGCAGAGCGCCACCTGAGAGGGCAGAAGGGCGGGAGAACCAAAACGGTATCAGAGAAGTACTCACAGGGAGACAGACAGGGCCTTGGACTCTTAATTTCCCAGAAAATTGAGAAGCACATCCCACAGAGCAAAAAACTGTAAATGTTAGCCAGCCTTTTTAGCCAAGTAAGTAAGAAATCTGAGCCTGCATGAGGCAAGAGGGAAGCCGACGCCCATGAAGCAGATGAGAAGAACATCCTTGCAAAGGCTGAGGAGGTCATGGCACCCTCACCCCCCATCCCAAGACAACAGCTGTGTCCAAAATACCCAGAGAGGCTCCCATGATTCATCTAGGGTCCTGCCTACCCTGGGCAGTAAGTCCTTCTATACCTTCAGTTGTCGTCGGACCCGATCTATAAAGAACTTCCAGCAGTTCTCTCTGTCATCAATCAGACCTTGGCTCTTGACTTCATTCCTTACGTTGCTTATGATGTTTTCAACTTCATCATCAGAGTAAAGATCTGGGATCTCTCCTAGGGAGAAATGGAGTACAGATGGGCAGCTTCGGCATCTCTGCACGAAGTAATTATTTGCGATAAGTTGTCTAACCTTGAGACACAGGCCCTTTGGTTTTTAGACCATGTTCTATCACCCTTGCTAGTGAAACTGGACACACACCATATCTACTCCAAAAACCAGTGGCAGGAAAATCATACATAAGAGAATGGAACAAGGTATGTAACACACTTTTGTCCTGAGTCAGCAGCTGGTAGCACAAAAGCTTTCAACTGTCTTTTCCACTTTGGCTTACAGCATGAATTTACTAACTACTGTTATAGAAATTGTGCGCATAAGGAACTCAATACTTAGAAGGAGAAATAAAATGGATGTAAAACGGCTCTAAGGCCCGGTGAAAAGAGCCATGAGAAACCTACAGATAAGTCCATATATTTAAGAACAAGGTATCACTTTTTATTGCAGAAAAAGGGGAGAGAGCAGGGGTGGTTTTGTGGAATTTAGTGTAAGGGTGACATCTTAACTCAGTGGGGAAAAATGAACATTCAGCACACAGCATTAGGAAAACTGGGAAAAATTATACTTGGATTCTTATATTCCACTGTACATTAAAATAAATTCCAAATGGGCCAATGATTTAACTATAAAAAACCCCCATAAAATTATAGTAAATATTTTTATAACTTCTGAGTGGGGAAGGACTTTCTAACTATAACACAAAATTGATATGTTTAAAAGAAAGAGAAATTTGACACATATAAGTTGACAAATTTTATATAAAAATAAATATAAATTTATATAAAAATTAAAAAATTTACATGCTGTAAACACCATAGGCAAAGTATAACAGCAACAACAACAAATCCCCCAAAAAAACAATCAAGAAAATATGTTTTCCAAAGAAGATATACAAATGGCTAACAGGTACATGAAAACATACTCAAAATCACTAATCTTCAGGAAAATTAAAATTAAAATCACAATGAGATATCACCTGTTAGAATGGCTACTATCAAAAAAACAAGAAATAACAAATGTTCATGAGAATATAGGGAAAAGGAAACCCCTGTATACTGTTAGTAGGATTGTAAACTGGTACTACCACATGTAAATGTATATCATTCCTCAAGAAATTGAAAATAGAACTACCAAATGATTCAGCAATCCCATTTCTAGGTATATATCCAAAGGAAACAAAACCATTACCTTGAAGAGATATCTGCATTCTGATATTCACTGCTGCATTATTTACAGTAGCCGAGGTTTGAAAACAACCTAAGTGTCCATCAATGGATGAACAAATCAAGAAAATATGGTGTATATATACCCAATGGAATATTATTCAATCTTAAAAAAAAGGGATATCCTATCATTTGCAACAACATGGATGAACTTAGATCATATTATGTTAAGTGAAATAAGCCAGACACAGAAAGACAAGTACTATATAGTATCACTTATATGTAGAATCTAATAATAAAGTCAAACTCATAGAAATGAAGAGTAGAAAAGTGGTTGCCAGAGGGTGAGGGGTGGGGAAAATAGAGAGAGGTTGGTAAAAGGGTTCAAAATTTTGTAAGTTATAAGATGAATTAAAGTCTGAGGATCTAATGTATAACAAGGTGACTAGAGTTGCTAATACTGTGGGGTTTTTTTGTTTGTTTCACCTAATATCATTCTTATTAGTATTAGCACAGTCATCACCAACTGTGTATACTTATAAATATCACTTTGTTTCTCATCCCAAAAAAATGGCACATAGTAGGTGCTCACTAAAGTTTAGTTTCTTTCCTCTCCCCCCTCCCCCTTTTGAATAGTTTCAGGTGTACAAAACAACATAATAATAGTTAGACATTTACACCCCTCACAAAGTGATAATCCCCCTCCCTCTAGCTACTACCCCTCTGACACCTTATATACCTGTTACAATACCATTGAGTAGCTTTCTTATACTAAACTACACTTCCATGAGTAGTTGACATACAAAATTATTCTACTTCAGCTTCAGGTGTACAGCACATTGGTCATGCATCTATACAGACTAGGAAGTGATCCCTTTGATAAGTCCAGTGCCCATCTGGCACCTTATATAATCTTTACAACATTGTTGATTATATTCCTCATACTGTATTTCATATCCCCATGACTATACTGGGTCTACTAATTTGCACTTTCTAATCCCTTCACTTTCTCCCCCATCCCCTCCCCCCTCCCATCCAGCAATTCCACTCCTGGGTATTTATCCAAAGAAATCCAAAACACTAATTTGAAAAAATATATGCCCCCACTGTGTTTACTGCAATGCTAATCACAATAGCCAAGATATGGAAACAACCGAAATGCCCACTGATAGGTGACTGGATAAAGGAACTGTGGTACATTTAGACAATGGAGTATTATTCGACCATATAAAAGAACAAAATCTTACCATTTGTAACCACATGGATGGACCTAGAGAATATTATGCTAAGTGAAATAAGTCCGACTGAGAAAGACCAATACCACATGATCTCACTTATATGTGGAATCTGAAGAACAGAATAAATGAGCAAACAAAACAGAAACAGACTCAGTATAGAAAAAAAATAACACTGCAGTGTAAAATTGAAATTTGCTGACACTAGAACTAAAATGTTCTCATAAAAAAAGGGAAAAAAAGAAAATAAATGTTTAATTCAGATTATAGTTAAGTAGCTAACCTCTTTAAAGTATAAATTCTCTACAAATAAAAAAATATCAATAATTGAACAGAAAGATGGGGTAAAGTTTACATAAAGAGGGTTCATAGTATAGAAAATATAAATGTGCCTTAAACATATGAACAACTGCTTTGCCTCACTTGTAATAACAGAAATTCACATTGCAATTATGCTTAGTTATTATACTTTTTTATCTGTATACATCAGGTTGTCAAACATACGAACACTCATCCTCACTCACAATAATAGAAATGTACTTTTAAACTACTCCTAATTATTATTTTTTACCAGATTGGCAAAATCTGAAAGTTAGATAAAATACTGTGTTAATGTGGCAATATATGATGAACAAAAATTTTTAAAGTCCTAACTAAATATGTAAAAGTAAATATATAATGACCAAGTAGGGTTTATCCTGGAAATGAAAGGATGGTTACATATTAGAAAAATTTATGAAAAGAATTCACTATATTAATAGATTTTAAAAATAAAACAATATAACTATCAAAACTGATGTATAAATTTTTTTAAAAAACTGTTAGCAAATGAGGATTAATGAATTTCTCTTAATCTGATAGTAGATATCTATCTCGGATCCAAAGCAAACATCATACCTAATGGTGAAATGCTAAAATATTGTCTTTCAAATTAGGAACAAGACAAGTGTGACTGCTATCATGTTTTCTATTCAACATGACATGCAAAAAGTCAAGGAAAAGAAATTAAATGTGTAAGAATGGTTAAGGAAATAATCAAGTATTATTGTTCAAAATCTAATTTTCTACATAGAAAATCTAAGAGAATATAAATAATCAGAACTCATAAGTGTGTTTGACAACCAGGCTCCTGGATACAAATCAAAGTTGGAAATAAAATGGCATTGCTGTACTTTGGCAAATAAAACCCAACAAAAACGTTATTTTAAAAGTCATTTAAAATACCAATAAAAACTATAAGGCAAGTAGTCATAAATATACAAAAAGATGTACAAGATCTTGATATAAAAATTGTAACATACTATTGAAGGGCATAAATAAAACCCTAAACAAGTGGAGAGAAATACTGTATTCGTGGGTGGGTGATTCAGTATTACCATTATCACAAAGATACAATTCCAATAAAAGAATCAAATAGATTTCTTTTTTGAGCCTGAGAAGCATGTTCAAAAATTCATATGAAAGAGCAAAAGGTAAAAAATGGCCATTATATTTGTGAAGAAGAACGAGAAGGAGGGTTTGTCCTACCAGAAGTCAGGTCTCTTTATAAAGCTGTTAGTGAAAACAGTGTGAAAGTGATACTGGAGTAAATAAATAGAACAAGGAGTGAAAACCCTAGAAACAGACCCAGATATAAACAGGAAATTGATACTAAAAATCAGTGTGCAGATAACGGGTGGACAATCATAAGTGATATTAGGATAATTCAGTATTAATACTAAAAAATAAAATTAGAACACCATACAAAAATACATTCCAGGTGAATTAATGACATGAATAGAAAAAGTAAAACTAATAATTTAAAACTAAAATACAGGAGATTATTTTTATGGTGTTGGATAGAATAAGATTTGTGAAACAGCACAAAAAGCACAAAGCATAAAAAAAGACTTAAGTTTTACAATATTTAAACTAAATCAGCTTGCCAGGAGTCATATACAGACTTCAAATAGATATTTACAACCCATATAATGAACAAAGGGTTAGGATCCAAAATATATAAAGAACTTACAAATCCATAAGAAAAAGACAAAGAACCCAATAGTCAAAGGGCAGACTACGGAAATAGGCAACTCACAGAAGAGGAATAGCCAATAAACACGTGAAAAGATGCTCCAAGGTACAAGTAAAAAGGAAAAGGAAAACAATGATATTTCATTTCATACCCATTGGCAAAAACTAGTATGTCAGATAAACTAAGTGTTGGTGAGGTTAGAAAGAAACAGGTATTGGTCAGAAAGAAAGAGGTATCTCTGTTGGTCAGAGAGTAAATTTGTACAACTATTCTGGAGAGCAACTTGGCACTTTCTAGTGAAGGTGAAATGCACAAACCAGATAATTTTGTAATCTGTGTTTTGGGCACCTATTGTACAGGAACTCTTGCATACACACCAGAAGTTTCTACTTTGTAACATTGTTCATCATTGCATGGGTGTTTGTTTTATTGCTTTGTTTATGTACAAAATAATGTGTGAAGAAATATAGAAAAACAGAAAACAGAAAAAAGAAAATGTGGGTGGTGAGACTGTGAAAGCTGTGAGGGAGAGTCAGAAATGGAAAGAAGAGATAGAATAGAACAAAATTCTGACTTAGGAACCAGGG